ACCCAGCACATACCCAGTACCTTCAACCTGAAACAGAGACGGGCCAAGGGCACAGGGCTGCGAACTCCACCCTCTTCTGTCAGGGACCAGCCACTGTATCTGACTGTATATTCTACCTTCATGCACCTGTACAACTGCCCTTCAAGGTGGGATGCTCAGAGAACACCTGCCCTCAGTGAGCTGGAACGGGGGGAAGATGTGAAGACACCATAGGGCTGGGTGGGGGCAGCCAGACTCCCCTCCAGGCCTTCCACAAGGGGGTGCCCATCGCAAGGACTCCCAAAATGGATGGAATTAATTGGAGCACCAGGCTCGGGATTCTCAGCCAAATGCTGCTACAAGACAAAGGCTTGTGATTGTCAGTTTATTGCTACCCCAAGTACAGTGTGGAAAAGAGGGCACTGCCACTTCTCGGCTGGTGCCAAACCGTCTGCCGGGAGCCAGGCGAGGGAAGATGAAGTCATGAGCCCCATGCGGTAGGTCCTCGGCCAGCCTCCAGGCTCGTGACGGGGACGAACCTCACGGTCTGCACCCGAAGACCCCAGGCATCGGGAAGGCTGGTTTTCTGGCAGGCCCAGAGCAGAGGGCCACTTCCAGAAGTGAGGTGTGAGCACACCGAGGAACAGGGGACTCTAGAGAAGAATGTCTGATCCCTACTTCACCTCCTCAGAAGGGGAGGGAACAGTGGAAAGTACTTTGTTTTTAAAGCAAAAGAATGCCGAGGTGGGAGCTGAGCCTCCACCTGCGCTGGGGGCCGGGGCCCCCAGTCCTGCGGAGAATCCTGCTGACCTCACTGGTGACGAGCACCCCCGTGACGGGAGGTGGTGGAGCTCTGTGGGTAACCCAGGCGCCCCCGCCCATAAGGCCACTCTCCATGACGCTGTCTCCCTTCTGCCAGACTGCAAAGAGGTCCCCGATGAGGATCCTGTGCCTCGATGGGGTAGAGAGCTGGGGACGCATCAGGGAGGAGGCTGCCAGGGCTGGGGAGACTCTGAATCCTGCAGCAAAGGGGTGAGGCATGTGGAGTGCGTCAGGGAGAGTTGATTCAGAAGTCTTTCCGGAAGCAGAGGACATGGGGTAAGGGGGCGGGGCTGTGTGTGTCTGTGCTGCAGAGGCGGTGGTAGGAGCTGAGCCACTGGTTCTGTGTTGCTGGTGACGCTGATCACCTTGCCCACCCAATGCCAGTGGTGGGACAGGAAGCTGGGGTGGGAGAGCAGAGGGCAGCGCCTTCCTGCAGGCCCAGTGTGTGTCCCTAGAGCTGTGGGCCAGGTGGCTGGGTGGGCTGCCCCTCCACATGCGACACGGCCTCCTGCATGTAGAAGATGAACTCGGAGGCCTCACCACCCTGCGTGTACACCGTCACCGTCTCGATGCCCTCCACGTCGTCTGAGGACACCACCAGGTGGTGCTCCTCAGCCAGGCTCTGCTGCAGGGTCTCCTGGATCATGACCGTGTGGTTGGAGCTGGGCTCCTCATTGGTCACCTGGGGAGAGGTAAGAGAGAGGTCACCCGGGTCCTGCATCCACGGTCATGGTTCACCAATGGGAACAGTGTTTCACGCATCGCAGACAATCCTCTCAGCACTGCCTCATGCTTCCTCTCACCCACCTCACAGGCGAGGAGAGCAGCCTGGCCAGGGCCCCAGGCCATGTTAAGTGGGGAGCCAGAGTTCCAACCCAAAGCCCTTGCTCTTTTCTCAATGCTAAGGTACAAGGGTTAGAAGACTCGGTGGAAGTCATTTACTGCAACAGGGTCGGGGGAGTGTAGGCGGGGGTCCTAGGCTATGAGAAGGGACTTGGCTGATCCCAGGTTATGTGTCTTCCCACACGCTCTGAGAGCAGGATGCCGTGCAGAGATCTGGACCCTGCCAGGTGGGAGTAGAGGGTGTCATCTATCAGCACTAGGCCTCACCCATGCAGTGCTGAGGCAGCAGATTGAAGCTCCCAACACAGGGCCGGGCAGGCATGTTCGCAGGAGCAGCTGTCGGTGAGAGGAGCAGCTGAGCGTTCGGGCCTGGCCCTTCTCTGCCAGCTCCACAGAGGCCCCATCCTAGCAGGTGCTAAAGCATCCATCCCTGACTATCCCAAAGAGCAATTGGCTTTGAGCTTGAGAAGAGAAGCAGCTGAGTATCAAACAGGGGCAAGGGCAGGAGTGGATTCAGGGCCACAAACATGGAGCAGGGCAGCGGGCCAGCCCAGGAGGAAAGCTGAAGGCCCTGGCCCCATCGTGCCCCAGTGAGAGCCCTCAAACCGTGAGAGGCATCCCAGAGGCTCTGGACAGCATGAGGGAGAGGACACGTGCTGACCCAAGCTAACTGGGTTTGAACACCAGCTCCACACTGTAGGAGCTGAGAAGCGTGGGCAAGAACTTCCCCCACCGCCCTTGGGTTTTCTCATCTGTCAAACAGGAAGGGAACTGCCCACATGGAGGATGCCTGGGAGATGGAAGGGGATCCAGATCCGTGCCATCCGCTTGATTCTGACTCAAGGCGACCTTGTGTGTTACAGAGCAGAACTGGGCTCCACGGGGGTGTCCTGGCTGGGACCTTTACGGAAGCAATTGCCAGGCCTTTCTTCTGTGGCTCCACTGGGTGGGGGTGGTTGACACAGAGCGGTGCTCACTGACATCACTGTCCTCCCAGCTGACACGGACCTTTCTGGCAGCAGGAGACACAGGGCAAGGGTGGACGGCAATGCTTTCTTAAACACCTGCAACCCGACGGTGCTGTGCTGTGTCAACCGATCATTCTCTCTTTCCACAAAGCTCCTCTCATGTTATCGAGAGCCGCTCCATGAGGCTCCATGAGGGCCTGTCCCAGAGCCACACTCCACGCCTGGCACACGGCAGGTGCTCCATGTTGGCTGAGCGGTGACAGCGCTGACACGGCAGCACGTGAGAAAAGCTGGGGCTCCAGGCCTACGGGACAGACACGGGGCAGAGAGGCGACGGAGGAGAGTGCTGTAGGGGAGGATGGGCAGGGAGGTTCCCCAAGGGGTTGAAAAGCCAGCCAGTAAGAGGTAGGGAAGAGGGATGGGGCTCCAGGCAGAGAAGACAAGGAGCAGTGACTCCCAAGGGGGCAGGAATGGCTTTCGTAGGGCAGTCTCTGATGAAGGCTTGCTTTCACCCACCTCTGACCCTGCCCCAAGCTCACAGTGGCACTGGGCAGTTCCCTCCTGTCTACACTGTTCACCATTAGTGCTCTGTGACATGACGTGCTCCCTGTCCCATGTCAGCACCCTGTCACCACGCACACCTGCCCCATGTCAGCACCCTGTGTCACCATGCATGCCTGCCCCATCACCATTAACTGCCATTCCACGTGCACTCTGCCCCATAATGTTAGCACCCGTCACGCCATGCACACTCTGCCTCATCACTGTTAGCAGCCCATGATGCCATGTGCTCCCTACCCCATCACCATTAACTGCCGTGCCATGCACACTCTGCCCTATCACATTAGCACCCACCACGCCACATGCACTCTGCTCCATCACTGTTGGCAGCGCTCCCTGCCCCATCACTATTAGTGCCCCCATCACATTAGTGCTCAATGCCATGAGCATTCTGGGATTGGCCCAGTTGGATTTGTGGGGTCTCATTCTTGCCCTGGGATTGTCCCAGGGGCCGTGAGCAGGGACAGTTGTGTCAAAGGGTTGTGGTCATTGTTAGTTACCCTAGCATCAGCTCCAACTCCTAGTGACCCCACATACAACAGAACAAAGCATGGCTTGGTTCTCAGCATCTTTCCAACTGAACCGTCGCTGAGTCCACTGTTGTGCCCATGGTGTCATGGGACTCCTTTCCTTCCTACAGCCCATCCTCCAGCACTGTGTGAGGCAGTGCTCCCTACCCACGGCCCAGCTCCCAGCACTGTGTGGGACAGTGCTCCCTACCCACGGCCCATCCGCCAGCGTATGTGGGATAGTGCTCCCTACTCACCGCCCATCTCCCATCACTGTGTGGGGCAGTGCTCCCTACCCACGGCCCAGTTCCCAGCACTGTGTGGGACAGTGCTCCCTACCTACAGCCCATCTGCCAGCACTGTGTGGGGCAGGCTCCCTAC